CTTCATCCCGACCCAATGGTAATACCTTTTTAGGTCTCGGTACATCTTATTGGACCCGGGGTGAATCGAGAACTTTGATTGGTGCGCTTCCTTAAGGATTTCTCCCTTCAAACCCTTGTCATTCGGCACACATACAAGACCGTTCACCACTATGGTACCATTGTTCGAGGTTTGGTACTCCGTTTTATTGTTCTTCGCCCAAGTTTTCAACTCCTCGTCCTTTGCTTGGGCCAAACGAATTCTACTAAGTAGATCGGCTTGATCGGCCGCACCTAAACCCAATGGTTCAAGATCCTTGGATAATGCATTTAAATGCAATGTCCCCATCATGTTAACCAAGTCCACTTGGTTTTTCTCCGCTTCTATGTCGAAACGTCTCCTACTTAAGGCATCGGCGACTTGATTTGCCTTTCCCGGATGATAGGCAATATCTAAGTCGTAATCCGCCACAAACTCCATCCACCTTCTTTGCCTTAGATTTAACTCCGGCTGGGTGAATATGTACTTAAGACTCTTGTGGTCGGTGAAGATTTGTACTTTGGCTCCGTAAAGATACGATCGCCAAATCTTCAAGGCAAACACCACCGCAGCCATTTCCAAGTCATGCGTAGGGTAATTTCCTTCGTGTTTACGCAATTACCTTGATGCATAAGCGATTACACTACCCTTTTGCATCAACACGCATCCTAGTCCCGTGATCGATGCATCCGTATAGACCATGTAAGGTTCACCTTCCTCTGGTAACACCAATACCGGAGCGCTCGTTAACATTGCCTTTAACTCGAAAAAACTCTTCTCACATTCCTCCGACCATTGGAACTTAGTATCCTTTCCGGTTAGTCGAGTCATCGGTTGGGACATACTTGCAAAGCCCTTTACGAACCTTCGGTAATATCCTGCCAAACCAAGAAAACTTCTAATCTCGGTGGCATTCTTTGGTCGTGGCCAATCCTTAATGGATTTGATTTTCTCCGGATCTACGGACACTCCTTGTTCCGACACTATGTGTCCAAGGAATCCGATACTCCTTTGCCAAAACGAGCATTTGCTTAACTTCGCAAATAACTTCTGTTCCCTTAATCGTTCTAGCACCACCCTTAGATGATTTTGATGAGTTTTCCAATCCTTAGAATAGACAAGTATGTCATCAATGAAGATAATCACAAACTCATCTAAAAATTCTCGGAAAACACTATTCATCATCTTCATAAAGGCTGCTGGTGCATTGGTTAGTCCGAATGGCATCACTACGAACTCATAGTGGCCATATCTCGTCCGGAAGGCCGTTTTCCGAATATCCGATGGTTCTATCGGAATTTGATGATATCCCGACGTCAAGTCTATCTTTGAGAACCACTTAGCGCCTCCGAGTTGGTCCAACAACTCATCTATCCGGGGTAATGGATATTTGTTCTTTATCGTAACTTTATTCAATCCCCGATAGTCAATGCATAGCCTAAAGCTACCATCCTTTTTCTTTACAAACAAGACCGGTGCACCCCATGGTGAACTACTTGGTCTAATAAATCCTTTATCCAACAACTCTAATTGTTTCTTTAGCTCCGCCATTTCCGCCGGTGCCATCCGGTACGGAGCTTTAGATATCGGAGTTGTTCCCGCTTCGAGTTCAATCGTGAATGGATCGGACCGGTCTGGTGGTAAACCACTCACGGCCTCGAACACATCCGCGAACTCGTTTGCGATCGGAATGTCTTTCAACTCCGCATTTGCCCCAACTTCGTGGGTTGTGATCGTGGCTATGTATGCCTCACACCCTTTCTCAAGCATCCTTTCCGCTTGGATTGCCGAGATTACTAAACTTCCCGAAGTTGTCCTTATTCCTTGGAATTTCAACATTCCTTCCTCCCTCTCGAATTGAATCCGTCCTCGGTGACAATCTATGTGTGCCTTATACTTTCCCAACCAGTCCATACCCAAAATAACATCGTGTTTCTTGAGTTGGACGACGATTAGGTCCGTTGGCATATTGACACCGTTGACTACAACCGAGATTTCACGAACAACACCGGACGAATACATTACTTGTCCGCCGGCTGCTCTAACCATTCCATATTCGGTGTTTGGTTCTTTCTTGAACCCACCTTTTTCAACCATCTCGGAACTCACAAAACAATGTGTAGCTCCGGAATCAAATAAGGTGTGTGTTTCTACATCACCTATACACAAGGTCCCTACACATTCCCCTAGAATGCTGAGTACCCCAATCCGTTTATGCATGATGCGATGCAATTTACGAATTAACATAAAGATCACAAGGACTTACCAGTGATCGCCCTGAAGTTCCCGGCATTGTTAGCATCCTCCGACAGTTCGTAAACTCGCGGTGCTATGGCCTGCCTCTTAGGCAGAGGCGGTAATCCGTTTCCGCTCCGGTTTGCCCTTTGTGCGGCTTGCTTTTCCACTTCCAGCTTCGGACACTCCCTCTTAAAGTGTCCCGCTTTCCCACAATGGTAACAAGTCCTTGGTTCTTCAGCGAGAACTTTTGGTTGCCCCGAATCCATCCTTGGACAGTTTTGAATCCCGTGGTCCTTACTTCCACACCGGCCACATGCACCAATGGCCTTCCAGCAAATCCCACCATGATTCTTTCCACAAGTCAAGCATTCTCCGCGCTTAGCACCCGACTTAGTGTCATCCACCTTGTCCCATTTCCCCTTCTTATCCGCGGACTTGCTTGGTTGGCTAGAACGATTCGGAAACTTCTCACGATTCATGAGTTTGTCTTCCTCAATTCCGATTTCGATCATAGCCGCCCTTTCCACCAATTCGGAGACCGAATTAAAGGTACGGATTAAGCAATGGTTACGGATCTCCACCCTTAACCCGCGGATGAAACGGCGCACTTGAGACTGCTCATCCTCGAGCTCTCTTCCCACGTATCGCCTAAGGCGATTGAACTCTTCATCGTATTCTCGCACCGTTCGGTTGCCTTGTATCAAATCCAAGTAGGCACACTCAAGCCGGTCCCATGCTTCCGGAGGGAAAAACTTCTTGTTAAACTCCTCCTCAAAGTTCGCAAAGGTTTGGATTTGATCACCCTTGCGTTTCTCCACGGTGAGCCACCAATTATGCGCATCCCCTTCCAAGAAGTGGATTGCAATGTCCTTCCGGTAATCCTCCGGGCATCGAGTGGAGTTAAAGTTTCTTTTGAGACGAGTCCTCCACTCATCCGCCACGATCGGATCGGAACTCCCCGTGAAGTGCTTTGTTCCCAACTTCGAGACGTGCGCGAGTAAACTCAAGTAGTCTCCCCTCTTCCTTGAAGAGTTCGTAGGCAGATTGACTTCAACAATCTCCACATCTACGTCCGCATCCGCGTCCGTTTTGTTCTCCTTCACTTGTACCACAGGATCCGGTATGAGTGCCTTAGTCAATGCGGCCATTTGTGCCATCATGGCCTTCATCGTATCCCATTGTTCTTGGGCCGATGGAAGTGCGTTTGGATTCTCCTTCCCATCCGTTGCACAACTATTCTCCGGAGTTTGATGAACCGGAGACTTTTGTCCAGCCACAGGTCCGGCCGGATTTGTCCCATCCAATGTTGCTTCGACACTTGTTTCATTGGTGACTTGTGTCTCCTCGGCAACCAACGTCTCCTCTACGACGTCCTTACCCTTATCCTTCTTACTCTTTCCCGTTTTGTTGCTCTTACACATCTGCAAAAAACTTCAAAGTTAGTAACGGTAACTCATAGTAATTCGCAAGAGAGTAAGAAACCAACTACCGTGAGGACCCATAAGCCGATGAGTGGTGATTCCCAAAACCCGCACTAATGGTCCTAGAACCAAGCATGCTCTGATACCAACTTGAAAGACCCCGATCCGGCCTGCCTAAGTCTGGAGAGGTTCTCTCCGACTAAATCACTAAGTGATCCGATCCTTAGTCAAATTTTAGGGCCATTTCCTTAAGACAATCCGTTTTACGATATTCTGAGATTCGTTACTTAGAGTCAATATGCGATATTAGAGTAAACAAAGAATCGGATACTTTATTAGATATTTAAAAGGATTCGATACAACTTATGAGTTTGCATATAAGCTATTACAAGTCATATAATCGATCCTATTCTACCCGATTCATCACCACCCATCTTCCCGGCCTTGAGTCTCTCACGCCTAAGCCAAGTTCTTCCCACGATCACCATCCTTTCCTGAAAGTCAAAGAGGCATAAGTATCCGTTTTACTTATTATATGCAAATCCATGCAATGCTCTCTAAGCCTTTAAACCACCAGGAACGAAGAACAGATCGGAGAGTGGAAGTATGCGCATCAGTTCGGCCTATTCACGGTAGATCTTATAGATCTGCCGATCCTCCGCCGAGCCGCATCCCCATTTCAATCGATCCGCCATTCGAACCAAGTTCATGCATGATATGAATGATCCCCCGATACTACAATGTCACCCTAATCATTCTGGACTTCTTCTAAGTCATCGGAACAATCCCTAGGCTAGTTCGTATGTATCATATCTCCTTAGGTTCGGACACAAAGTCTAGAACCATCTCACCTTCGATCACACCGATCGTAACTCTCTCTTAAGTGTTTTCTCTCAAGATGTTCTCCGAGAGTTTCTGTATTTTTTCTCTAAGTTTTTCCGTGTCCGAAATCGTCCCAAATGCCTTGTATTTATAGAGTTTCGTTTGGAAAACCGCTTCCCAACCGTTTCCCTAGAAGGCACCCTTTCGTTCCATAATCGTCCGTTGTAACCGTCAACCGCAACCGCCCAACCGCTCCTCCGTAACCGCCCAACCGTCCAACCGTCCAATAGTTATCCGAGCTTAGCTGAGCTACCCGGCAGCTGGTCGAGCTAGCTGAGCTACTCAATAGTTACCCGAGCTTAGCTGAGCTACCCGGCGGTACTTCGAGCTTAGTTGAGCTGTACGGGAGCTGGTTTGGCTACTTAGCGTGCATTATTCCCCTTCTCCGAGCTGATGGGCAGCTCCTATCTAGACTTGTCCGAGTTCCTCCTCCTTTTCTCAGACCAAGTCTCATCCGATGATCCTATCGAGGATCGCGGACGTTACTGTATCTCTGGTTGTCGATGGTGTCGGTCGACACCGGTCCGTCTACACAATGCTGAGTGGCGAGCTGAGCTGTGTCAGGCTCCTTTGGTGTAGTACACTGCAATTCCTGCGCAGATTCCTTTGTAGACTCAACAGAGAAGGACTTACTACTGAGAATCGGAGGTGTACGTGGTCCCTTCATATCGAAATTCATCTTCACATCGCACACATCCAACGAAATCTGTCCCTTCTTCACATCAATCGTCGCGCCAGCTGTGGCTAAGAAAGCTCTACCCAAGATAAGAGGATCCTTGGGTTCATCATCGTAGTCCTGCACTATGAAGTCAGCAGGTATGAGACAGTCACCAATCTTCACAGGAACATCCTCCAAGATTCCTTCGGGAATATGCTTAGAGCGATCCGCGAGAAGCAAAGTGATCCGTGTCGGCCTGTAAGCAGTCATACCAAGGCGGAAAACAACTGAATGTGGCATAAGATTAATGCTGGAACCAAGATCACACAACGATTTCTTGAACCGACCAGTTGAGATGGAGCAATCGAGAACAAAGCTTCCAGGATCAGGTAGCTTCTCGGGTATTCGACTCTGGATAATCGAGCTAACGTGTTCAGACACAACCACTTTCTTCTTCCGCTCTTTCTTAGCTTCCTGCAGTACAATCAAACTGATGTCCTTGGTGAGCAAAGCAGCTTCCTCAGCACAAATACCATTGTTCACCAATCTCTTGACATATCCATCAAGTGTTGGAGAAGATGTCTCGAGATGGATTTTAGGGATAGAAGTCAAGATCTTCTCCATGATGGCCTTGCAGCGAGCATCCTGAATCTCCTGCTTAGAGCGACGCTTCCTAGGAAAAGGAACCAGAGGCGTGTAGACAGGCTTAGTAGGTGGGAAAACTAGAGTATAAGGTGTTGTTCTGACCTAGTGTCGATCGTCACTAGGTGAGTATCGGTCGACACTATCAGAGGTTGTCGCCTCTGCTGAATTGTGACCGATCAATCCTTCAGACGTTGAGACCGGATTGTTGACGAGGGAGTGTCTATCGACACCCAGGTGGTGTCGGTCGACACTGAAGCTTGGTGTCGGGATAGGAGAGACTGGAGCGGTCGACAACTCTTCGTCAAACGTCGATACTGTCTCGAAGGATTGATGGTGTCGATCATCACACAGGTGGTGTCGGTCGACACTAAGGGTTTGTGTCGAGGCACAAGGGGTTGTATCGGTCGACGAGTCTTCGTCGAACGTCGTCGAACGTCGTCTTCCATGGGTAACGGACGGGTGTCGAGCGACACCAACGAGTGGCGGTTGATACCGGTTCTACAGCAGCGAGCTCGAGCTCATCTTCAGTATCCAACTCTTCCCAAACATCATCTCCATCACGGATCAGAATCGCATTACAAGTTCTCTTGGGATTTGCATCAGGCATACCAGGGAGAACACCATCTTGTCGCTTAACAGCGGCGACAGTTTGAGCAACTTGAACATCGAGCTTCTTCATGTGAGTGTTCAAAGTGTCAATCTTGCCATTCAAATCAGAGTAGATGGCATCAAACTTCCCATTGAACTCAACTGTAAGCTTAGTTTGCCCCTCCAAAATCTGCTCAAGCATAGTCTCCATCTTATTCTCGGGAGTGGGTGCAGGTGGGTTCTGGTAAGTTGTGTTCCCGTAGGTCCTCTGGAAGCTACTAGTCTGCGGATATGTCTTCTGAAACGCTGACCTGTTGTTGAAGCCGGAGTTGTTCTGATTCCCTGTGAAGCGCTGAACACTGAAGTTGCCTTGAGGAGGCCCGAACTTCCTGTAACCTTGTCCATCAATGTAGAACACTCCTTCTTCAGACTCTTCCTCTGTCTCAATGTTCTCGACCTCTGCAGCAAAGTGTACAACTTTCTTTCCTATGAGGAGGCTGTGGACTGAATCCAACTTGGCATTAACCTCTGCGAATTCAGTACCAGTAATCGCGCCTGCAATCTTCTTCCTCTCGAAGTCTGCGTTCTTCATGCTGTTGCTACATGCAAGATTCTCAATGAGAGCTACATCATCTATGGGGTACCTGGTGTTGAAGTTACCATTGCTCGCAGCGTCAAGAGCTATCTGGTATCTCCAATCCATTCCTCTGAAAAATGTACCGATAAGCTAAACTTCATTGAAACTGTGATGAGGGCAATCTCGTTGGTACTCCTTAAATCGAACCCAAGCAGCTTTGAATGCTTATGCTGGTCCTTGAGTGAATGTGGACAACTTGTTGCGCAGCTCCTCAGACTTGCCATCATCATAGAAATTGTTGAGAAAAGCTATCTTGATACTCTGCCAGTTAGTCAAAGATCCTGGCTTCAACTGCTTTAGCCAAGAAGCTGGTTCCCCAGCAAGTGAGTATGGGAAGAGCTTGCAGAGAAGGTAGTCATCAGAAACTCCATTAGCTTTAATGCTGGACACCAAATCCTCAAATCGCTCGATATGATCCATAGGCTGTTCATTGGAGAAGCCATGGAAAGGATGTTTACCCACAAGAGTGAAGTAAGCGGGTTTCAACTCGAAGTCATGTCTCTGGAATGGGGGAGGTACGATCGCTGAATGATTAGCATAGAACAGGTCTGGCCTATTGTAATCCCCAAGAGTCATGGGACGGTCTGCCGCGGTAGGAGGTTGGTGTCGAACGGTGTCGAGCGACACCTTGGTGGTGTCGTTCGAAACCAATGATGTGAGCTCCTACTGCGTTTTTGTGGAGCAGCAAGATTCAAGATGTTTGGATCATCCACAATCAGATCCTCAGGTATGACAATCCCTTGATCGTCCAATCTCTGTCCAGCCTCATTGTAGGCTTGTCCATCATCATCTCTCAAAAGTCCTTCTTCATCAGCTCTGATTTCTCCACGAACCATCTCTTAATGGTGATTCCCAAGAACTTCGGAAACGGCGCCAAATTTGATATGAGTCAAATTAAATCCTTATAGTCTACTCTCTCAAATAAGAGATCAATTGCAGCACTTAAGGATCGAATTCCACAAAGTTCTTTTGTTCACACAATAAGCTATGAGTCTCGAAATTATGCTAAGTAAAATAATTAAAATTTAATATAAAAAACCGACAGGCAATGATTTCAGGTGAAAAGATCAATAGATTAAAACGTCAGGTTTAGGAAAATTCTCAGGAAATAAACTATTAGTAAATCTAGCAAATTAATTAGGATTATTTAACGAACCGTTCTAGAACTCAAATCACTAATGACTAGCTAACCACCTCTCGATGCGCTAACTAACAAGTCTAATATCAGTAATTCCACCTCTCGATGCGAATTCCTAGATCTAGACTAGCATTAAATTCAGGTTTGATATGTTCACCTTAGTAGATAGGCCGATTCTTATTACACACCTATAAACCAGGCTCATCTAAGGTAGTTCCAGTAACAGGTGCCCTCTCGGATCAAATACCTATTATCCTATGATCAAGTTCTAGTTAGCTACTCTAGGACTAGCATTAAGAACAACCTAGATGAAGAACTCTATAGATTAATCCTAACAGGTAATTGATTTACTAGTTCATCTAAATCCCTAATGAGAATCCCTAAACCTAACAGGGAGATTACTCAGACATGATTAATGAAACAGAAAACATGTTGAATAAATTGTAGAATAAGAAATCAAAAGAAGAAAAGAGTTTAGAATAAATCTTCTCTCTAACAAGGTATTGAAATCTCTGAAAAGTTGCTCTCTCCAAACTCAGAGAATTACAGAAGCTAAAGACAAGATACAGAATTGCAGGGTTCCAGGGTTCTAGCGTACAGAAACAGAAAAACCCTAAAAACTATTTATAAAGGGGGTGATTGGATTAGACTTTTAAGGCTTTAGAAATAATTTAAAAGTTTTCAAAGTCTATTTTACCCAATCAAGCTTTTTTGGCTTTAAAAAATTGTAAAGCCTTGAAAGTCTCTTTTTTTTTTTTTACTCTTTGTTTTCAATTTTTTTTAAAGTCACGTAAATGAGGCTTTAGAAATAAATAAATTAAAACCTTATAGTTTTTCTTCTTTTTCTTTTCATATATACATGTAAACTCTCATAACATTCACAAATAAATTAATTTTTGAAAAATTTCAGTTTATTTACAATTAATTTTTTTTTCTTGTTCTATTAAGATCCACTTTCCTATATATTTGGTAGTTATTTAAAATTGTAATTTTTACAGTCACATTATTTACCAATCAGTTATAAAATTTATACAGTCAAAGTCTTTAAAGCAAAAGTTTCTACAGCGAAAGTTTTTACAGTCAAAGTCTCTACAGCGATAATTTAAAGTCGTTACCAATCGGCCCCAAAGTCTCCAAAAACGTGTAGGGACTAAAATTGCAAATAGGGAAGTCTTCTGGGTAAATTCTGCGGGCTTTAAAACTCTAAACCGTCGAGACTTCTTGTTGGGTCGTGTTTGGTGTCGGTCGACACCCATGCTTTGGTTCGGAACGGATTCGTCTCCTCAGCTCCAAATCTTCGGTTTAGCTCCAAAATGATTCCTTTTCTCCAATTTCGTCCCGAACGTGTAAAAACCTGAAAAGACTCAAAAAGACACTAGAAACCGGTAAAATCCGTGATATATCACAAGTCCAATTGGTAGGCGTTGTTGTTGATCTTCTTGATGATTTTAAATGGTCTATCCATCCTTGGCATCAGCTTGGACTTTCTTTCTTTTGGAAATCTTTCCTTCCTTAGGTGAATCCACACCAAGTCTCCTTCTTCAAAGACTATCTCCTTTCGGCCTTTATTAGCTTGACTAGCATACTTCTTCGTTTTCTTTTCAATATTCATTTTTGCCTTCTCATGAATCTGTTTCACCATTTCTGCCTTCTTTTTCCCATCCATACTAACTCTTTCACTCAAAGGTAAAGGCATTAAATCCAAAGGAGAGATGGGATTGAACCCATAAACAATTTAAAAAGGTGAAAACTTAGAGGCAGAATGAACATCATGATTATATGCAAATTCAACATAAGGCAAACAATCTTCCCAAGTTTTAAGGTTCTTTTTAATCAATGCTCTTAGTAGTGTAGACAAAGTCCTATTAACTACCTCAGTTTGACCATCAGTTTGCGGGTGACAAGTAGTAGAAAACAATAGCTTAGTACCTAGCTTAGACCACAAAGTTTTCCAAAAATAAATAAGAAACTTAGTATCACGATCAGAGACTATGGACTTACGCATACCATGTAAACGCACAATTTCTCTAAAGAATAGGCTAGCAACATTCATGGCATCATCAGTTTTATGACAAGGAATAAAATGTGCCATTTTAGAAAACCTATCCACAAACACAAATATAGAATCCTTACCAGTCCTAGTCCTAGGCAATCCAACAACAAAATCCATAGAAATGTCATGCCATGGATGCAAAGGAATAGGTAAAGGAGTATACAAACCGTGGGATTGTGATGTAGCATTAGCCATTTTACATGTTGTACATCTTTCACAACACTTCTCTACGTCCCTTTTCATGTTTGGCCAATGGAAATGATCTTGCATAACCTTGAGAGTTTTAGCGACTCCGAAATATCCCATTAGGCCTCCACCATGTGCTTCCCTTACAAACAGCTCTCTCAAAAAAGAATTAGGAATACACAAACGGTTATCATAGAACAAGAATCCTTCATGCCTATAGTATTTTCCAAATGCAAATTTCTCACAAGAAGAGAAGATCTCACCAAAATCAGAATCATTGGCATATTGAGATTTAATTTGTTAAAAACCAAGTAGCTTGGCATCTAGAGATGGAAGTAGAACATACCTCCTTGACAATGCATCGGCAACTACATTGTCCTTACCTTTCTTGTATTTGATGACATAAGGAAATGTCTCAATGAATTCAACCCACCTCGCATGTCTTTTGTTGAGCTTTTGCTGTCCTTTGAGGTGCTTCAATGACTCATTGTCGGTGTGAATTATATATGAACTCTTTAGGCCAGAGATAATGCTGCCATGTTTGTAGTGCTCTCACCAAAGCATAAAGCTCTTTATCATATGTAGGATAGTTAAGAGTAGCTCCTCCAAACTTTTCACTGAAATAAGCTATGGGCTTTTTATCCTACATCAAGACAGCACCAATACCTACACCAGTGGCATCACATTCTATCTCGAAAGTTTTAACAAAATCAGGAAGAGATAAAACACGGGCATGAGTAAGCTTCTCTTTTAAGGCCTGGATAACTTCAGTGAGGGGTTGCCAAGGTGCTAAAGTCTTTCACAAATCTCCTATAGAAGCCAGCAAGCCCATGGAAGCTCCATACTTCTCTTATGGATGTTGGACTTGGCCATTCTCGAATTGCCTTTACTTTTTCTTCATCAATTTTAACTCCATCTGTACTTCAACAAAACCTAAGAAGACAAGGTTATCCGTTCCAAAAGTACACTTCTTAAGATTAGCAAACAACTTTTCCTTCTTAAGCACTTCTAAAACCATTTTCAAATGCTTAACATGCTCTTCTAGGCCTTTGCTGTAAACTAGGATGTCATCAAAGTAAACAACAACAAAATGTCCTATATAAGCTCTAAGAACATGATTCATTAATCTCATGAATGTACTAGGTGCATTTGTCAGCCCAAATGGCATCACTAACCATTCATATAAACCTTGCTTAGTTTTAAATGCAGTTTTCCACTCATCTCCTTATTTCATCCTAATTTGATGATATCCACTTTTTAAATCAACCTTAGAGAAGATGTTAGAACCATGCAATTCATCCAACATATCATCTAATCTAGGTATAGGATGTTGATACTTCACCGTGATATTGTTGATTGCTCTACAATCAACACACATTCTCCAGCTTCCATCATTGTTTGGTACAAGTAGCACGGGTACAACACACAGACTCATATTTTCTCTAATATATCCCTTCTCCATTAGCTCCGTGACTTGCTTCTCAAGCTCTTTTGTTTCAACTGGATTGGTTCGGTAGGCTGGTTTGTTTGGCAAGGAAGCTCCTGGTATGAAGTCAATTTGATGCTCAATGCCTCTAATGGGTGGTAAACCTTCTGAATTTTCCTCGGGAAAAACATCTTTATAGTCCTGCAAAAGAAACTTAATACTACTCGGCAAATCCGGTTCCAAAGCTGTTAAGTTTTCTTTAAAAACAAACCGGAGATTAGGTTTAGTACTTCCCTTTGATTTATCATTGGAGACCTTAGATTAAACAGCTTGAGTTCCTTTCTTTTTCATGCTAAGCTGATCCAAGTAGACTTCATGAGGTGCCATAGGTGCTAAAACTGTTTTTCTTCTTTTAAACTCAAAGCTATATCTGTTTGTAAACCCATCATGCATTACTCTCCGATCAGATTGCCAAGGTCTACCTAACAAGACGTGACTAGCTTCCAGGGGCAGAATATCACACAAGACCTCGTCTTCATACTTTCCAATGGCTAGCGGCACTTGAACTTGCCTAGAAACATCCATTTCTCCACTCTCATTTAGCCATTGCAACTTATAAGGTCTAGGTTGTGGAAATTCCTCGAAACCAAGTTTCTGGACCATAGTCTCACTAGCAACATTGGTGCAGCTCCCACCATCTATAATAGGACTACACACTTTGTCCTTGATCAAACACCTTGTATGGAACAGATTCTCTCTTTGCGCTTGCTCTTCCGATTTGTTTAACACACTCAAGACCCTCATAGTCACAAGCAGCTCTCCTTTAGGTGCTTCTTCAATTTCAGAATCCTCTTGTGCTTCTTGTATCTCCTCTTCGGACTCAATTTCTCCATTGTCCTTAATTACCATAATTCTTTTGTTGGAGCATTCACTAGCATAATGACCGAGTCCGTGACACTTAAAACACTTGAGATCTCTAGCTCTTGTAGTTTCCCTTGTTTTCCCTTTTGAACTGATTTCTTCAACCTTAGGCTTCACAAACGGCTTGTACTCCTTTTGAAAACCAGTTTTCTCGTCTTTTGGGCAGCTAGGTCTGCTCACATTGTAGCTAGGCTTAACACTCGTTCTCTTCAGCTGTTTCTCAAACATGACTGCCTTGTGATACAATTCTTCAAGATTGTCATAGTGTATCACCTCCAAACGATCTATTATGTCTCTCTGGAGACCTCCCATAAATCTAGACATTGTTGCTTCATTTTCTTCTTGAATATCAGCCCTCAGCATCAATGTTTCCATTTCTTTGAAATAATCCTCAACAGATTTGTTTTCTTGAACCAAATTCCTCAGCCTTTGATGCAACTCCCTATGGTAATGACTAGGCACAAATCTTCTTCTCATGATAGCCTTCAACTAGTTCTAAGTTTCAACCGGGTCATCTCCAAGGCGCCTTTTAGTAGTAACCAATTGATCCCACCAGCTTAGCGCATAATCATAGAATTCAGTGGCTGCCACTTTAACCTTATTTTCTTCCGTGTACTGTTGGCAAACAAACACCAATTCTATCTTCTTCTCCCACTCCAAATATTCATCTGGATTGTTAGTACCATGGAATGGAGGAATGCGAAGCTTCAGGCCAGCCAAGTTGTCTCTCGGAGGGTTTCTTTCTTCTTGCCCACGTCTCTGCCTCCTATGACTGTTGCGAGTAGAGGATTGGCTGTTGTAGTTGAGTGTTGCTTCACGATCAGATGGATTCATTGCAATTCTGTTCTGCCTTTCTTGATCAGATCTTGCAGCCTCAAATCTCTCATCCATCATTTTAGCCATACTAGCAGTAAGAGTAGCTGTGAGAGTGGCTGTGAGAGCTTCCATCAATAGCTTGTTGTTTTGTGCATTGCTGTTCTCTTCCTTATCTTTATCAGACATTTTTCTGGAATTAAAAGACACAACAGTATCAAATTCCTTTTAAACAGATCAAAACAGACCCATAAACACATAAATCATGAACCCTAGAAGTTGAAAAGTTCAAACAATTCTAAGAAGGTGAAAAGTTCACGTTTTCCAAATCGCACGATTAAGTACAGAATCTTATAGTTCAGAACGCAATTAAAACGATTAAACAAGTTTCGTTTCGATCCGATAAGTATTCAAGCGTGAAATGACGAACAAATTTTGAGGAACAGAGAATACCAAGAGTTTAGAATAACACAACCTGATACAAAGTTGCTCTGATACCACATGATGCGTTCCTTGGTGAGAAGATCCAGTCCCTTGAAGTCTCTTTGTATGGATTGTGATAAGTGATGGGGGATCCGTGATGAACAAGACAAAAGATGGTAAAGTGAGGGGGCTGAGATCGAAGAGGAATTGTCTTGCGGATCGAGTGTTTCTTCCATAGGTTGCGGAATAGCCTCTAGACTAACGAGCTTGCTTAGGCAGGGATATGACACACCAAACTGTCACAAGTTGAAGAGATATTACACACCCTTCAGATCAAACAATTTGGAAAAGGTTTTGATAATAAAAAGTTTGATGAGTTCTCACAAGAGAATAAATAGAGAATATATAAAGGAGAAGAAGAGAAGAAATGACGAAAAAGAGAGCAGTCTTGGAACAAGCTCCAAGGCAGCCTCGAAACACAACATAAATTAAAAATAGAGTTTGAATTTGAAAATAACCCTTGAACTACTTAAAGCCACGAAATTATCTCCTTTATTTGATGGGCTTGGGTCTTGAATCATCAAATGGATTATATGAAGTGAAATCATAAGCCTCATTAAAAACCTCCCTTTGGAAAACCCATTGGGACAAAACCAAAGGCAGGGAAAAAGAGCACTCATGAATTCACTTGTCCATTTGATGAGGTCCTTGAGCTTGGATCAAAACCATAGAAGTAGTGATTTGGCTCAAGTCATTTGGTCGGTCCCAAATGTTGTTAAGCATTCCTCCAATGGCATGGTTGAATAGCTTAACTCTAGAACGAGTCATCGGACCAACGGGTGTGACTAAAGCTTCCTCGGCTACAAGCTCCTCCTCAGCTACAAGCTTAGCTCCTTCCGGTTCAAGCTGCTCCTTTGCTCCTATTATCTCGGGTTCAAGCTGCTGGTCCATTATCATATCAGAAAAAGACCAAATTACCCCTATATCTGACAGAATACGAGTTTAGCGAAACAAAATCTGAGCACTAAATGCTCGCAACATCTCTATGGCAAAGATAAAGAAAGATTGCACCAGCGTATGGGGAAACGGAAGATTTTACGAAAAGAAAATGATTACACATATATTTTTTGGGTTGCGGATGTATTAGTCATATGGGTTCAGCTATTATTTTCTCGATGGCAGTTTGGCTGAGGGAGATAGATGGGTACAATAAGGTTGTTATTGCGGTAAAGGAGAGATTGGCGCTACGAGAGGCTGACGATATCGAGCTAAGTTATCAGTGGTCTCAATGGATGATGGGCCTTGACTGGAAATGAGCAAACCCGATACACATTCTAGATGATGAAGACATGACTCTGTTCATGGCTATAAGAGCAGATCTTGAAGAGGTGCATCTGCGAGTTAAGATGATAAGGGGAGGGCTTGATAAGAACGTTAATTCATACAAGAGCCACTTAGATCTGGGAAGAATGACTTCGGAGGAGATATCGGATAAGTAGTGCAGAAACTAGGTTAGTCTGGGATAGTGCGTTAACACGTTTGTTAACGCAAAATGCGGGCATGAATAAGAGTAGTAAAATCGGACTCCAACCTCGAGTGAACGAAGCAATTGAAAGATCGAGAGGAGTAAACCTAAATGGAGGGGTAAGGATACATAAACTGATAAACGCAACACCTCTTAGAGCATCGGTACCCAGACAGTCGGATAACAATGAGAACCGAAAGGCAACGGCCAGCGAGAAAGGCAAAGGGCATGTTATTGAGGAAACAGTAAATCAAATTCCTCACGCTAATGGATTATCAGGTAACAAAATGGTTGAAGCGGCACAAACCTCTGCAGAGGCGAAATTTGAAGCTTTTAGGAGAAACTGTGTAGCGGAAATGTGGCGGGATGTGTGTGCTACAGAGATGACTTTAGGAGGACTGCAAGGGGGGACTAATCTAGCAAACGAGGGAACAAGGACGGCGTGAGAATTGGATTTCGGAGTAACAATGTCACAACCAGAGCATGTTGAAGATGAAAGCCTACGACTAATGCTTTCTGGGACATCAATGGCAACAGTCAAACCAACAATCTTAATGTTGTCGTCATCAGACTCTTTGTTCGGCACACCAACGACACAGTAAACAAGTATTTCGTTCTCAAGCGAGGAGCTGATGGATGCATATATAGGTAGCATATCGCCTACCGGAGTAATAGGTAAGTTATCTGGCAACTATAACAGTACTTTGATAAAATTCGCGTGCTTGTTTCTTCTGTTGATGATGCAGGACAAGGAACTAAAGATGTTGCCGCTTGTACAAGTTTCCTTGGACATGAGCACACCTCCACCGCTTACACTCCACCATGGCTAGCAAGGCGTCGCGCTTCTGAGAAGTCTTCAAACACTTCTCCTTCTCCACCTCACGCCTGAATCCCGACATAGTCAAGCTAATGACTGAAAATAAGCGCTTAGTGGGAGGCAACCCACTTGTATGTTTTTCTTTTCTTTTCTTTTACTTTTCTTTTATCTTATTTTTCTTTCTCTTTCGCTAACTCCGGTCTGAATGCCACTGGGGACAGTGTCGTTTAAGTCTGGGGGAGGCAGCTACTAATTATGTTTTTCTTTCTTTTTGAGTCTTATTTTTCTTTTTCTTTTGAGTCGTTTTATTGAGTCAAGACTTTGTTGGAAGTTATGATCTTTTTCTCTAGATTATTGCCTGGTTAGTTTAATGCTGCAGATTTAAATCAATCCGACTAATGGAAAATCCAGAGAGTTAATCGATAAACCAGAGGACATCCACGTTTCCAACACAATCCGCTAAAGCCTGAGCAAAGTTCACGCTCTTCACCTCGTCAATACGGTTAGTATTCTCAGAACTTGACTCCTTGTTCATACTTGATAAATGAGACCAATGTGAAAAAGAATGGTACTCCTCTCCCCTATTCTAAAAAAAAAAAAAAAAAAGAGATTGAGATGATTTTCTTTTGGAGTAAAGAGATAGGAAAATTTCCCGTGATCTCATTATTTTACTTAAAGAGGAATGATCACACGAAGGTTGGAAGCGAGGTTAGGAAAATTTCCGATGATACCATTATTCGCCTACACCTTTGAAGCTAAAAAAAAATAAAAATGGTTTGAAAAATAATAAGTCTGGGGGAGAGAAAGAGTACCTAAATATGTTGTAATGGTTGATTTGTCATGGTATAGTACGGGAATGAGTCTAGAAGGTTCTTGAGTACTGATTTTATTGATAAGATTTATGCGATGAGTGCTATAGGATATAGTTGTGGAATTTGGTTTGGAATTTGGAATCTTGAGATTGCTTGCAGAGAATTACATGGTGGTTAGGATTTGATACGATCTGCTAGGCATATGGATTTGGTTTGAATGATCAAGGTAATAGGTGTGGATGTAGGATTCACACTCAATTGTCTTTAAGTATTTCAGTGGAGAAAAACTCTTAAAATCGACGAATGAATATGAGAATTCGAAAGGGAAATTAACCAAGAAAAGAATAAAGTAAAGAAATTTGATAAGAACGAAGTATGCAAAGCCTTGCGAAATTGTAAGAGAAAAAAGTATGTTGTATTGCTTAGTAGTCGGAAGTAAAAAGATGTCTCTCCCTCAAACACATGCGTTTGAGGTTGTTTTTATAGAGAAAACATGATTAATGCGGTCATTCACTGTACATAATTATATTGATCCGCATTAATTATGTAAGTTACAATTTTGACCGAAACGGCTTGAACTTGAACTGTCTTGGGCTTCACATGGGCTTTCCGAACTCTTTCTTGCTGACTCCGAACTCCCGTGCTTTGAAGCTATTGCGAGCCTCGAACAATATTCTCCTCGCTTCGGCCTTTCTCTATGCGAACTGTATGTTGAATAAGAGTGAACTCCATGCTGGTAAAGATCGAACTCTTTTAGTGAACTGAATCGAACTCCCAACTGGTCAAGTTTAATTAAATATCTTGAATTCCGAGAGGATTATTATGTAATAATGACGTGGACAGATCCAAGTGGTACCGAAAATGTGTGGGATCCGACCCCAACATTTGGCCCCCCAAGTCTTGCGAGCTGAGTGCTCGGCTTGGAAAACTTAAGTAAATAGTAATTAATGAATCGAGATCTTTAACATTCTGGAATTTCTCCATGTTTTACGCTGTTACGCTGATCTCGGATAATCAGATGATTTGATTTCCTTGACAACCGTCATCATTAATTTCTTAATTTTATATTAATACTGCGGGGAAAACTGTCCCGCTTCCCAATATTTCCGAGGCGGTTTTCTGCTAAACAGGGTTAAATCGAACGACAGCTTTTACAGCGTACATTCACCCCTAAAAGCTTTTACCAAACCAGAGAAAGAAAATTCTTTAGTGAAAAATGTCTTCCCCAGCCATTTATGTCTCAGACAACGAGGATGATAGTCAGGGAATCCCTGTTCCCAGAGGAAACGAAGTCTTCACCCAAAGGGGAGATAAATTCGGTCCGCATTTTAGGTCTCAATCGACCCATACTTCCCTTGGCGCTCTTCGTCGCCTCTGCAACATTCCTCAGGAGATAGAATTCTCTCTTCCTAAACCCAATGAGTCTCCAGAAATAGTGCGAGAAAGTTACTGTTGTGCTTACGAAATCTATTCCAAAGGTTGCGGTTTATTTTTTCCCATACCGGAAGTTCTTCTTTTGTACCTCCTCCATCTGGGGATTGCTTTTCCCCAAATGGCTCCCACCTTTCTCCGATACGTCCTGAGCACCCTGACTGTTTCGGCAGAAGCAGGGTTTTCTCTCACCACTAGCGAACTCTTAGGGCTATTTCGAGCCCGTGAATCCACAACAGCGGGTATTTTCTCTTTGAATCCTATCTTTGACCGTAACCTAATTGACGGAATGCCCTCGCACGATGGGCCTTGGAGGAAATACTGGTTCTTCTTCCGGGTCAATCCTCACTCCGTCCAATGTCTTTCCGGTCTTCTCCTCCCAAATTGGTCGTCTAAACTTGGTTAGAACCAACCTTTATTATTTTTCACTGTATTGTGTGAAAGAAATAGAATTCTTAACTCAACACTTTATTTCAGGGAACCAAACTATTCCCCGTCCAACTGTTGATTTCTTATCTTTCTTTCGAATCGTTTCCGAGGGTGAAACAATTTGGAATTCCTTCACCCTTCAACATATTCATAATGCGGGGCTCTCAATCAAAGATGGTCAAACTCACCCCCTCGATCCTCCTCCTGAAGAGAAAGATGTCTCGAGCCTGATTGCTCGCGATAAAAGAAAAATCCTTGCCGAGACTAAGGCTCTTAAGGATCAATTATCCAAAATTGGGAAAAAGAAGCGGATCGCTGCAATCTCCAGGGTTGGTAACTTCCACAGGAAGACCCTCTTGGTTGATGACGGTTCTTTAGAAGCAGCTTTGTCAATTGCGGTGGATTCTCACGGAGCTGAGATTCCTAACGACCCTCCAGTTGCTACCGCTATTTGCCCTTCCGCACAAGAGAAAGAGAGAGAAGTAACTTCTTCTCTTCACACAAAGAGGAAGGCTCCAGACTTAGATACTCTATCAAACGAGAAACTCAAAACCGTTAGATTTAGTTCTCCGTTACGAGCTCCTAGCCCTTTGCATTATATTTTCCCTTCTTCGGAACCTTTAGACCCTGAGTTCCCTCTTCCGATTGACAGAGTAATTCCAGAAGAAATCGATGAATTGAGACCGGAGGTTCTTTCGTCTCAAGGATTGAGTGTTAGTACTCAAAACCCTTCACTAGCTTCTATTTCTGAAACTGGTAAGTTTTTTTTTTTAGAACGCGAGCCTTAGCAAGACTAGTTACAGACAACAGTTATTTTATTAATCTACTATTCTCCTCTGTTTTGTAGGCGGAGAAGAGATTGGAGACATCTTCCGAAGTTTTCAAACCAGGGGACGGGCATCTCTTCCCCCTTTTTCAGTTTGGAGGCTGGAAATCCGTCAGATGTTCGTCAACCGTGCTTGCTACCTATCCCAGGTTCGGAACTTTTAGATTTATACTATGATAACCCCTTTTTTATTAAGTAAAATTGTTTTTGTCTGAATGACATTTTTTTTTTTACTTTGAAGGCGTTTATGGAGACTAATGGAATGATCTTCCATTATGAGAATCTTCTTCACCAAGCGATGAGAGAAACCGCAAAGGCTAAGAAGGAGATTAATGAACTCAAACTAGTCAATCAGTCTGACCGACTCGAGCAGGTGAAAACCCTCGAGTCGTCCTTCGAGGATATGAAGAAGACTTTGGCAGCTAACGAGCAATGCCTCAGAATTGCGAATGCTGAAAGAGATTCTGCGAGGTCTAACGCTCTTCACTTGAAGACTGAGTTAGAAGAGGCTACGGCTTTGTTCGAAGAAGCGAACCATAAGGCCGACTTTTTAGCTAAGACTAGGGCTCGCGAGATCGCCGAAGCCGAACATAACGCTCGAGAAGAGATGTGGGGCTTTGGTAGGCAACTTATTCAGTCTATCATGAAGTTTATCAAAGACGAAGAAGTCTGGACTAAACTTCAAGCCGATCGAGCCGAGCTGAAGAGTAATCTGGACTTGATTGGGGAACTAGAGAAAGGAAGAGTTTCGTTCGAGAATGAGAGGAGGGAAGTTACTGCCGAACTCGCTGCAGTTGAATCCGGGTTATCCTCGGCTTCCCGTCCTACTCTCGATCTGAAACAATTTTCTTTGGTATTTAGAGATTCCCCCTCTCAATTCGAGGTAGGTGAAGGATCTCGGCCACGCGAGGGTTCTCCAGAGGTAGAGGAACGCTCTTAAAAAATTGTTTTGTTGAATCCATGAGGACTACTCCGTTTGACGGAAATGTTTCGTTTAATTAGTGTGTCTGAACACAATCATGTAAATGCTCCTGCATATGCTTTTTTTTTTTATTAAAGTAAAACGTTTGGATGCGATTCTAGGTTTGCAAGTCCTAGCCCACCAAAGAGTTTTTATGGATTGTGAGAGATGAGCTGATCAGGCTCACTTGCCTTTTTTAAAGAAAAAATCTTAACAAGTATTTTTCCTCGGTCTCTCGGAAGCGAGGATGGAGCTCGGCTTAAGCTTCTTATCGAGGGATAAGGTTTTTTCATGAGAATTTTGCCATAAAAAAGACCAGGCAATGGTTTCGATCATTGCCTAAAAATAGCTTTGAAAGTGTTGGGCCACGTTTTAATTGGACCCGTAGTCTGCTCTA